TACCAATAATGAATAATTCATTGGTGAGATTACGAATAATAACAAGTGTCATGACTATAATAATGTTCTTGAAACTTACATAGCATTTAAAATAGAATAGTATATAGATTGAGCCAAGAGAGGGTAGGTGTGTATTCTGAGACTGGTAAATTGTTAACATTTATAACTTCCCTCAGGGAATAGGTGCAGGGTTCTGTCAAATTAACACTAAGGAGCTCTTAAAACTCAGACATTCCAAGGCATTCAAGTCAAAGCACATGCCAAGGAATTCACAATTCTCAATCCTTTTTCTTCAACCTGCCATTTGTTTGTATTGTTTCTGTTTAAAAATATATTTTTTATAAGGTGTTTTCCCTCTAATTATGAAAGGAAAACATATTCACTTACTTGGAAAATATTTTAAGTATAGAAAAAATTTAAAAAACTAGCATTCCACATACCTGGGCTATTTGGTTTATTTTATTTTATTTACTTATTTATTTTCTTTAACAGGGCTCTATTTGGTTTTATAAAAATGCTTTTAGTTCTGATATTATTGGCCCAGTGATTGTTGTTTGTTTTAAAATATTGATCCGACCTTAGAGAGTTTCATAAATCTGCTGCTCCTCATGTGGCAGTAATGGCATAAGTCCCATGAAAGGTAAAATTCCCTGCGGTAAGAACCCTGGCAGGATTGCACAACTCTCTCACACAAAGACACGTGTCAGTGTGAGACCATGAGACAGAACTAAAATGTTTAGCCACTGTTCTTTTATATCTTTTTCACTCAAAGGAAAATGAAGAAAGTTACTTCAGATGTCATGTGGCAACTGTCCCCTGAGTCACCAAACCCTGGTTATTGAAATTAAGATAGTTACCTACTATTTTAGCAAATTCCTCTCCTTGGCATCAAGGTGGCATTTGCTATGTTACAGAACTGGCTAAGGCACAGTAAATTTTGTGGTATTGTAAATAAAATCCAAAAGAGATAAATTCTTGTTTTTCAGAGAGAAAAGCTTGTTTCCACTTACAGTTATTTTTTTCAGTACCTTTTTTCCAATTTATTAAAAATATATACCTTTGAAAGGCTATGCAAAATAAAACATCAGTATTTCTACATGTGCTTTCTGTTTATACTAAACAATACTGGAGAAAAGTACACATTTAAGACTTACAGATATGCAAGGTAAGTGGAAAGAAATAAACTCTGGTGAAGTGGGCTGACAGGTGGTATAAATAATACTGGTGCTACTAACAGATAACTTGACTCAACACTTCGCTCAATATCTGGCTTAAGCTAAAGAAAAAGCTTTAGAAAAGTCCACTTTCACTTGGTTAATTTTCTTACTAGATATAGGATTAATAAATTCATTTCAATTTGTAAGCAGAAAAAAACAATTGAAATAGTTTCACTGTTTCTTGCACTACTATAAAAACAGTCATGCCATTTATGAAGAAAAGAGAATGTCACAAAAATATGTCCAGTGTTTTATTCTCAGTAATTTCAGAATGATAAAGTGCTCGAGCAGTCTTCTGTTCTGATTACCTGGTCCACATAAAAATATCTGTATGCCTCCACTTTATATATAAAGATGTATATATTTATGTTGTCTGAATATAAAATATACATATATGTAATACACACATATACACATACACATAAAATGATCTAAAACAGGTAATTGTCTGTTTACTTTTTGAACCTTTTCAGGGTAAAGATCAAACAGCCTCCCTTGGAAGTCCACTGGAGCATGTTCTCTGTCAGGAACCCAAATATACTCATTACATGCCAGGAAAATCGCTGCTACTTAATTTCATCTTGTTTAATTCTCCCCACAGTTACAAAACAAATATTTATTGACATTCTACTACGTGCCAGGCACTGTGCATAGGGCTGAATATTTTACTATGAACATTTTAGCTCTTAAAAATTTTGTTTGAATACTTTAAAATGAAAATTAAGCCACTCTATAATTTTTTTTTCAAAAGGCTAAGCAGCATTTTGCTATTTTTTCAATTGAGTTTAGGAACAAATGCTTTTAACATTTGTTTGTATGTTTTTTCTGAAGTCATGTCTTAACGTGTTTGCTTCTGTTTGATTTGAAAGACATAGTCACAGAACTAGAAAGCCTCAGGGAAGTCCTATCAGAGTCTGTGATTCTAATTTATCAGTCTGTCTTCTTTTCAGTTTCCTTTTACTCTTGCCATTGCCTAAATGGTAGCCATTTCCATAAATTTCTGCAAGCTCTGCTCTTTCCTCTACATATTCTCTAACTGAGAGAACTTACACACCACAGAGGCAGCACCATACTACCTCTGCAGTGGTAGCTTCAGGATTTCTACGTAGGAGTGTCTCTGGGGTGGCAATCTATGTTGTAAGGAAAGGCTAGCTAGAGGACTCACCTTCCTGGCAGTGGAAACTCTACTAAATTATCCAATTCCATAACTTTCAGTTTCTACATTTGCAAAACTGGAATATAATACTTAGCTCCCAGGATCGTAATAGAGATTAATGAGATAAATGCAGTGTCCCTGGCTCACGTGAAGCCGTCAATAAATGCCAAGTACTATTAATACTGTGTAGGTCATTAAAATTGAGTGACAATACCAGAACATGTTTGGGTTTGCTTGCTGTTGTCAGAACAGATTGATGAAATTAGATAAGATTATTGCCAAATCAAGAAGAACAGTATTTAAAAAAATATTATATGATCTTTATATTTGAAAGTCAGATGCAACAGATTTAGGAGAAAATAGTTTCCATACTTGACAAATATTGAAATCTGTTTAGAAACATCCAGCTTTGCTTTATGTGGCAGTTTATTAGCACAAATGAATGTTAATATTGTGATGTTGCTTTTCCTTCCTAACTTTCTAATTATTATTACATAATGTGATTAAAGAAGAAAACAAAGTGATATTATAACAATCTCATTTCCTGCATGTTTGATGTTTTGTATCTTGATTTTTCTATTTTATAAAATAGAATTTTATGGAAAACATAATATTTAGATTGGAGTATTTAAAATTGAGAATGAACTAAATGGAGAAGGCTCCTTTACTTCTATGAAATGATGGTATTAGAAAACAACAGGGAGATTAAAGTCACACACCTTGAAGAAGAGCTCGTATATAAGAACTTGAAAATACTGTAAAGGCATAAAATTTATTGACTTTGTTTCAAGTTAGGGGTTATACAAGAGAATAAAAAAGGCTCAGAATGTTCTCTATGCCATTGATATTCAAAGTGTGGTCCATGAACCAGCAGTGCCAGCATTACCTGGGCCCCACCTGGACTGACTATGGTTTAGCAAAATCCTCAAGTGATTTACATTTCACACTAAAGTTTGAGAAATTCTGCTGTAAATTACACTTCTATGCCCTTTGGTTAATAGGAGGGAAAAAGGAGCAAAGGCTAAATTATTTGCACATATTCTTGTGTTCCTTTTTCCTTACACATGAGCTCTTTTGACATTTCACTAGTTTCAATACACAAGTTTTTGTTATTGTTCCCATTTTCTTCATGATAATTTTGTCTTTATATGTGGATATCTTGAGTCTTGATTATTTCTCTTGAATCATCCTGTAGATGACAGTTTTCTCCTGTGCTGTATATATCAGGTTTCAGTCTTTTTTTTTTTTTTTTTCGTGACCGGTAACGGGATCGCAACCCTTGGTGTTGCGCCCGCACCACGCTCAACCAGTGAGCGGACCGGTCTGTATATGGGATCCAAACCCTCAGCGGGAGCGCCACCACACTCCCAAGCACCACACTCTACTGAGTGCGCCACCGGGCCGGCCCAGGTTTCAGTCTTTTTGCCCTACTAAAATTTAAACTTTTCAGAATCCATATATGTTGGAAGAGGGTTTATTTAGATAAGTTATGCCCAATAAGAAGTTAGAGCAGGCTGTGTCTTGGGACATAAGAATAAGTGAAGATAGTCCCACGATGACACGTGAAGGTCTGAGTTAAGCAAGAGGCGCTGTGAATAGATGAGGAAATGTACAAGGAGGGAAAAAGGAGAATGACATTCTTTTTTTTTTTTTTTTTTTTTTTTCTTTTTTTTTTTTTTTTTTTTTT